TCCGTCTCTTCGAGCAGCATTTCAAAACCACAAATTGGCATCTCCAAAACTCACACACACTGTGTTTCGTCTTAGTGTGTTACAAGTTTATTGTTGCGTCCAAACATTGGTGTTTGTCTCTAGGTTCAGTTAGGTGACTGTATCCAGTCATGCAAGTAATAGCCACACACTTCATTTACAGTATAGACTGGGCACGTATAGTATAGGCCTGAAATGGTGCAATATAGAGTATAGGATGGAAATGGTGAATATACAGTAGTGCATAAACCAAAATCTTGCTAGATTTTGGTTTCAAAATCAAAATCTAGAAAACAACGTCTCAAGGTCTTTTATACGTACTGTACCCAATTTTCACGAGGCGGATGACTGCTAAGACCAATAGATTTTCAAAGGACATTCAGAGTATAAATTTGCTTACCAAATAAGTGCTCGCGCGTCTGCCTTGACACGATGTGTGTCAAGGCACCTTGACACGATCGTAACACGTTTGACACCGTCTTGCGGTATATCCCCCTCTTCGCTCCTCAGGAACTTGGCACCAGGTATACTCTTCTGCTCAAAATGATCTGTTACGCTCACGTCTGTCAGTAAGGGACATGACCTTCACACGCTGCTTTGTCATATCACAAATGTTGATGAGACCAACAAGGGATATATACATCGGGAGGTATACTCCGCTATACACCGGGAGGTATACCCCGCTTCTCGGTGTATATACAGTGAGAGTTTACTTTAGTCCTGGGCTGTGTTCAGGACGTTACTTGCTGGTTGGTCAGTAAGCCATTGTGGTGGCCTTAATAACTCTCCATAGGTTGATAGGCCTTAAGTCCAACACTAAACGAATCAGGCCAATATTTGGCCGTTGCGCATACGAGCGAAAAGCGACTTAATTTGTAAGAGAACGAGTTCAACCCAGCTAGACGATCTTTCAGTTATGCTGACAATTTGACCTGTGTTTAGTATTCCAGTAAGGTGAAATTTGGCGTTACTGGGACTACTACATTCATCTTTGAATGCCCATTGTTTTTAGGAGAAGCCGTCATGCTGATACAGAAGTGTAAGGAGAGAAAGCCTCTTATCTTAGGCTTGGTGAGGTTCCTCCCTCCTTCCCTCATTGCAAGGCTGTACGATCACCCATCCAGGTACTGATCAATGTTTAATATGACCGACAGACAGGGTTCCGGGTCACAGAGACAAACAAGACGCAACACGACGAAGGTTTTTGGGTGTTTGGGGGATCTTCTCTGATTTGAGACAAAATTAAGATATTTTTTTGTTTGAATCCCTTAAGATTCAAAATGATTTTTGGACTTTGGATTTTCAAAATTTGGATACTATACTTTCCCCGAAAAGTAAATGACTTTATTATATCCAATAATAATAATAATAGAAAGAGATCTTTATATTGGAGAGTTGAATGATACAGTCATAGACATGTAAAGTTTCAATATTTTTTATGTGAATTATAAGTAGAGTTGGTGAGTGAGAACGGTTTAGCAAGCGTATTTACGCACCAATTACAAACTTCAGCGGCGACATTACGCTTTTAAAGACAATGAAATTTCGTAATTTGTAGAGCAAATGAGTGACTCGATAAGCATCACACGGATCATTACAGAGGTTTAAACAGTTTGTTTTATATCGGCTTAAATCTGTTTTACATCCTTCAAATTAAGAAAAATGCTAAGAAATTTGTTTTCAACAAATACTAATGACAAGAGCTGAGCACCACAGTCCGCCCTCCACGCCATGACTAACGCATTGTTTTATATATATATATATATATATATATATATATATATATATATATATATATATATATATATATATATATATATATATATATATATATATAACCCACTCAAATGTAAAAACTCTCCTAGGTGCTTCCCAGAAGTTGCTAATATTTACCTGTAATATTGCCAAAAGAGCCATTGAGACACGCAGTAAAATATTGTTTAACCTGATCACTAAACCTGGAACTCTCCGAGGCGGGGGGACGCTGGGGGTGTCCGTGTCATAATGGCTACATCATTTCCAAACTGCTGCAATACAATACTCTCCGAACCACCGTCGTGAATGCACAAATTTTCCGTTCAAAATTGAGGGTCACTGCTGTGTTTATACATGTGTCCTGCATGCTAGGTTACCTGCCGTGTTAAACATGTGTCTAGCATGCTAGGTTACCTGCTGTGTTAAACATGTGTGAAGCATGTTAGTTTACCTGCTGTGTTAAACATGTGTCTAGCATAGACACATGCTGTGTCTATACTGTGCTGTGTTAGGGAGCCGGTCGGCCGAGCGGACAGCACGCTGGATTTGTGATCCTGTGGTCCTGGGTTCGATCCCAGGCGCCGGCGAGAAACAATGGGCAGAGTTTCTTTCACCCTATGCCCCTGTTTTTAGCAGTAAAATAGGTACCTGGGTGTTAGTCAGCTGTCACGGGCTGCTTCCTGGGGGTGGAGGCCTGGTCGAGGACCGGGCCGCGGGGACACTAAAAAAGCCCCGAAATCATCTCAAGATAACCTCAAGAAGCATGCTAGGTTACCTGCCGTGTTAAACATGTGTCTAGCATGCTAGGTTACCTGCCGTGTTAAACATGTGTCCTGCATGCTAGGTTACCTGCCGTGTTAAACATGTGTCTAGCATGCTAGGTTACCTGCCGTGTTAAACATGTGTCTAGCATGCTAGGTTACCTGCCGTGTTAAACATGTGTTCTGCATGCTAGGTTACCTGCCGTGTTAAACATGTGTCTAGCATGCTAGGTTACCTGCCGTGTTAAACATGTGTCTAGCATGCTAGGTTACCTGCCGTGTTAAACATGTGTTCTGCATGCTAGGTTACCTGCCGTGTTAAACATGTGTCTAGCATGCTAGGTTACCTGCCGTGTTAAACATGTGTCTAGCATGCTAGGTTACCTGCCGTGTTAAACATGTGTTCTGCATGCTAGGTTACCTGCCGTGTTAAACATGTGTCTAGCATGCTAGGTTACCTGCCGTGTTAAACATGTGTCTAGCATGCTAGGTTACCTGCCGTGTTAAACATGTGTCTAGCATGCTAGGTTACCTGCCGTGTTAAACATGTGTCTAGCATGCTAGGTTACCTGCCGTGTTAAACATGTGTTCTGCATGCTAGGTTACCTGCCGTGTTAAACATGTGTCTAGCATGCTAGGTTACCTGCCGTGTTAAACATGTGTCTAGCATGCTAGGTTACCTGCCGTGTTAAACATGTGTCTAGCATGCTAGGTTACCTGCCGTGTTAAACATGTGTCTAGCATGCTAGGTTACCTGCCGTGTTAAACATGTGTCTAGCATGCTAGGTTACCTGCCGTGTTAAACATGTGTCTAGCATGCTAGGTTACCTGCCGTGTTAAACATGTGTCTAGCATGCTAGGTTACCTGCCGTGTTAAACATGTGTTCTGCATGCTAGGTTACCTGCCGTGTTAAACATGTGTCTAGCATGCTAGGTTACCTGCCGTGTTAAAGATGTGTCTAGCATGCTAGGTTACCTGCCGTGTTAAACATGTGTCTAGCATGCTAGGTTACCTGCCGTGTTAAACATGTGTCTAGCATGCTAGGTTACCTGCCGTGTTAAACATGTGTCTAGCATGCTAGGTTACCTGCCGTGTTAAACATGTGTCTAGCATGCTAGGTTACCTGCCGTGTTAAACATGTGTCTAGCATGCTAGGTTACCTGCCGTGTTAAACATGTGTCTAGCATGCTAGGTTACCTGCCGTGTTAAACATGTGTCTAGCATGCTTGCTGCAAAATGAAAATAAAACAAATTCATGCAAAATAAAAGTAATACGGGGAAAAAAAGGTAATAAAAGTGAAGAAACAGAAAACCCCTCAGAGTTACTTCAAACTACAGTCGTCATACAGATGAGTTCTGCAGCTCACATAATTACCGTGTCACACAATCACCATGTTGCATAATTAACATGTTGAATTACACATTTGCAGACAAGAACAGAGAGAACACATAACACCTTTATTCACCTGTCAAGCTGAAGAACAAACAGCTGCAAATGAAGAACACAATGTTTTAGTGTAGGAATACGTCCTGAAGATCGATTATTTGTTCTCCACGTTCTCTTTTAACAATTATATTAACGCAGAGAACAATATAACAATGTTGTGATCAAAATATGGTGGTTATTTACTATTTATGATATTCATATAGGAGGTCTGGTCGACGACCGGGCCGCGGGGACGCTAAGCCCCGGAAGCACCTCAAGGTAACCTCAAGGTAGGTCCAAGTTTATTGTTTATAAAACAATAATCAACGTAGGGGGAAAACAAGTGTAAACAAAGGCAGCAAACTAGTAATGGAACAAAACTTCAATCTCCTGTAAATATGGACAATTGACTGGTCGTGACGGAGACGTTTGTGCACATGGGAACGGTAGCCAGGTAGAGTAATGTTTTGTAGCAGATCTCAGTCTCTATGATAGGAGTCAACCTTAGCTGGTTGCTTCTCCCCCCCCCCTTCAACACCAACCACCCACCACCAACTACCACCCACCACCAACCACTCACCACCAACCACTCACCAACAACCACTCACCAACAACCACTCACCAACAACCCAACAACCACTCACCTACAACCACTCACCAACAACCACCCACCACCAACCACCCATCACCAACAACCCACCACCAACAACCACCCACCACCAACCACCCACCAACAACCCACCACCAACAACCACTCACCAACAACCACCCACCAACAACCACCCACCAACAACCACCCACCAACAACCACCCACCAACAACCACCCACCACCAACCACCCACCACCAACCACCCACCACCAACAACCACCCACCACCAACCACCCACCAACAACCCACCACCAACAACCACTCACCAACAACCACCCACCAACAACCACCCACCAACAACCACCCACCAACAACCACCCACCAACAACCACCCACCAACAACCACCCATCAACAACCAACAACCTCCAACCAACAACCACCTACCACCAACAACCACCCACCAACAACCACCTACCACCAACCACCCACCACCAATCACCCACCACCAACAACCACTCACCAATCACAACAATACAGTGTCAAGTGCTTGCACTGGAGGGTGATTCTGCCCTATATGGCTACTACCCATGTACTTCAGCTCCTTTCAAACTGCGAGATGCATGAAGTTTGTGAAGACAGTTTCAGCTGTGTCTCACCTCAGCTGTGTCTCACCTCAGCTGCTGAGGTACAGGTTTTAAAAAAGACAAAGCATTAGTGTGCAGCTCAATAAAAGTCACGTCTGGTCCACTGTGAACACTGTGAACACTGTGAACACTGTGAACACTGTGAACACTGTGAACACGACAGACAAACGCGGCAGCTATGGTGCGTATTATGCCGCTTACAGACTAGATACAGCCCGTGTTAATAACCTAATTATGATATGCAGTGCTGGCTCGCTCGGGATTTGTCGATAGAAAAGCATTCAGCCATATGTATAAAACAAATCAAGAATGGGGGAGAAACATGATAAAGTACGAAAAGAACTTAAGGGATAAAATCCTGCTTCACTTAATTGGATAAGGTGGCTTTCTCTCCTTTCATAACCAGCTTAACATGGCGCTATACAAAGGCTTTCAAGGAAAAAATACTTCCAAGGGCGAATGCTCAAATCACTGCTGAAGCAGTACACTGCTTCAAGAGCTGTGGCCCAAGAAGACTCTCAGAATAACCCCAACAGAACCCATGTTGGGTTCTTCAAAACTCGTTGTGATGTTAGGGGTAGGGCTTCAGGACTAGGGGGTTCTAGGGCTATATAGGCTAGATATATGAGCTTATAACATCATTAGGTACAGTTGAGGGACGATATATCCAAGGAGACCAGCTCCACCTTTATAATTTCTAATCAGTCTCGTTCAATATAATATGCATATATATATATATCTATATATACTCTGAAACAATCACAGATTAAAACTTTTACACTGTAAAGTATTATTTATAATTTCAGGAGTAGGAGGGCTACATTTAACAAGAATTTAATTAGTAGTAGAGAAGGCTATTCTGTTATCCAAGACTTCTCTGATACTGGAAAAAATAGCCCCATTACACAATTTGTTTTCCAAATGAACATAAACCAGCAACTTCCTATACATTATATTATGAGCTTGTGAGACAGAAGTTGTCTGTGTGACAATCTGAAATACTGGATTAATAAGAGCTCAAGGTGCATCTCCAGCAGAACACTAGCGACCCCTTTGTTCAAGCACGACCCACGACTCCTGACGAGGAGGACCTGAGACTCAAATGTGACTAAGAATGTTGGGGGGAAACCCTCAAGGTATATATGAAACAAAAGGTGGACCTCAAACTAGAAGATGAGAGGTGACGTAGTACACAAATCCACCATCTCCCCCCTCCCCCCCCCCCCACACTGAGAATATTGCGAAATAAAGGCAAGACTTAGAAATTCTTGATAATATTCTGAGGAAAGAAAACTTGGATTACAATGATGTCTGGTCCAGAGCACATGTACTAATCTGGCGACAAGGAGGAATGTCTTTGGTCGACCTATGACTCGAGAAGGACGTGCCACCGACAAACTTGTTCCCCTTTAGAGTCTCGCATTTGGTTCCAGTGAGCCAACTCTTCTTCTCCAGAGCTGTTGAGACCAAGAGCGAACCAGCCAATCATGTCCTTCCTCTTCATGCTCCTCTTGGTGTACACAGACACCATCAGGGTCACGTCCGGAAGCTGGAACAATGCCACCTGAAATACGCATTTGGAATCAGTTTTAACCAGAGCAACAAGCACAATTTCGTCTTGAAACTACAGAAATGAACTAAACTAAAACTAACTTAACTACAGAAACTGTTAACAGCATTCTACGCGATAATACCGATCGTCATGTTATATAAAACTTTTAAACAATCACTTCTCATCAAATCCGTCTCAAATATATGCATTTTTTTCCTCCATGTCATTGTATGTGAATGTTTCAGAAATACTCGAGACTGTAGTTTGAACCACTGAAGGGCGACTTTGCACAGTGTTGCCCATCTGATTACTGGCCACACCCTAAGGTACTGAACCTGACTGAGTGAGCACCACACACACACCATTCACTCTATTCTTTGATGTTACTGATAAAATGCTAGAGTGAGACAGTTTCTGAGGTATTCGTTATCATGTCTCACATATACTGAAGCATAGATACTAGTTATTACATTAACATCAGTCAACCCAAATTAGCTCAACATTAATGTACTGTAATATTATGTTATTAACATAATGTTTGCAAATAATTTTGTTTACATAAAAGTTCTTTGTGATAAACTATTTACACTCTTGCTCACAGCTGCCACTCACGTTAAGTCAAACGTATCGTTGATTCGCTGCAACATTGCATCGACTACCAACTACACAGTTCTCAATATCAATATTTTATAACAAACTGAGGTTTCTGGTCTGTGTTTTCCACACAAGTTTCTTCACCATATTTCTGTGTCTTGGAGATGCATAGTTAGAATATATAGCCATCTTAAACTAACTAATTGTAATCTAACCTAATACAATGTAATGCGGTCCACCCAGACCTAACCTAACCAAACTTCTTAAGAGAGAAAGTCCAGAGCTCGTGGCTCGACAATGTATCCTGTACACAAAGAGACGCTTTCCTCTCGCTTCTTACAGGTCGGCGTTCAATCCCCGACCGACCAGGAGGTTGAGCACTATTCCCTTTCTCCGTCCTCTATCGTATCCTTGAATCCCTCTCCTCATATCCCTTCCAATCGCTATATAGTCGTAATGGCTTTGTGCCTTCCGCTGATCATGACAAGATAAGAGCTCCTAAATGTTCTTAACAGCTACTCCCCCTAACCTGAAACATGAAGGTTTCTTTAAAGAGTGGATTAGGTTGGCCCCGACGGACCGAGGTCTTGCTGTGGGCGATCTCCTGGCCGCTTGAGGACATGAGCACCAACTTGACGTAGGTGTCCGGGGCTCGGGTGTTTACCATGCTCCTGAAATCATCACCGTTCCTGTAAATGACCGCATATGTAATTACTACAATACAAACGAAATGCTTTCCAATAAGCTAGACTCACTGGGGGAGGGAGGGAGGGAGGGAGGGAGGCTATATTTCCTTTATTGTGGAGAGGAACACTCTATTATGGATAGTACAGCATTAATGGGAGTACAGCATTAATGGGAGTACAGCATTAATGGGAGTACTATGGAGAGTGCAGCATCAATAACAACTTGGAGCAGCTGAGCTCCGTCAGTAAGGGTCAGACACGGATGAGGGAACGAAAAAACACACACACATACAGCTGTTTAATGCATGATATTGTACCTGTTAGCATCTGCCACGCAGCTGTTATCATTCGTATTTCCTAAGCTGGTGTGTAGGTGAGAGAGTCGACCTTATCAAGCTGTGTGGCATGATACTATAATTAAGTTAATTAATAATTAACTTTTTTTTTTTAGATTGCCTTTTAGATTGAATGCAATCAAAGAGGATCAATAGCAACATTGATAAGAGGTATTTAGATCGGTCAATACACTACATCACGATGTTATGGAGAGAATCAATCCCACCATTAGAGGACTGTGTGAGTCTGTCGTCCCATACTATCCCACCAGTAGAGGACTTTGTGAGTCTGTCATCCCATACTATCCCACCAGTAGAGGGCTGTGTGTGGCTGTACCGTCCTAAGCTTCGTCTCCTTACATCTAAAGCCTTAATAGACGACATTATAACTAAGCATCTAAGTATTCAAACGGCTGTTGGTCGAGTGGTTAAGGGATCCTGTACATTAGTTGCAGTGCTTCTGGCAGTATGGGTTCGAGTCACTTCTGAGGTGTGAGTTATATATATATATATATATATATATATATATATATATATATATATATATATATATATATATATATATATATATATATATATATATATATATATGTCGTACCTAGTAGCCAGAACTCACTTTTCAGCCTAGAATGCAAGGCCCAATTTGCCTAATAAGCCAAGTTTTCATGAATTAATATATTTTCTCTAATTTTTTTCTTATGAAATGATAAAGCTACCCATTTCATTATGTATGAGGTAAATTTTTTTTTATTGGAGTTAAAATTTACGTAGATATATGACCGAACCTAACCAACCCTACCTAACCTAACCTAACCTATCTTTATAGGTTAGGTTAGGTTAGGTAGCCGAAAAAGTTAGGTTAGGTTAGGTTAGGTAGGTTAGGTAGTCGAAAAGCAATTAATTCATGAAAACTTGGCTTATTAGACAAATCGGGCCTTGCATAGTAGGCTCAGAAGTGAGTTCTGGCTACTAGGTACGACATATATATATATATATATATATATATATATATATATATATATATATATATATATATATATATATATATATATATATATATATATATATGTCGTACCTAGTAGCCAGAACTCACTTCTCAGCCTACTATTCAAGGCCCGATTTGCCTAATAAGCCAAGTTTTTCTGAATTAATATATTTACAATAATTTTTTTCTTATGAAATGATAAAGCAACCCTTTTCACTATGTATGAGGTCATTTTTTTTTTATTGGAGTTAAAATTAACGTAGATATATGACCGAACCTAACCAACCCTACCTAACCTAACCTAACCTATATTTATAGGTAAGGTTAGGTTAGGTAGCCAAAAAAAGCTAGGTTAGGTTAGGTTAGGTAGGTTAGGTAGACGAAAAAACATTAATTCATGAAAACTTGGCTTATTAGGCAAATCGGGCCTTGAATAGTAGGCTGAGAAATGCGTTCTGGCTGTTAGGTACGACATATATATATATATATATATATATATGTCATATATATATATATATGACATATATATATATATATATATATATATGTCGTACCTAGTAGCCAGAACGCACTTCTCAGCCTACTATGCAAGGCCCGATTTGCCTAATAAGCCAAGTTTTCATGAATTAATGTTTTTTCGACTACCTAACCTACCTAACCTAACCTAACCTAACTTTTTCGGCTACCTAACCCAACATAACCTATAGAGATAGGTTAGGTTAGGTTAGGTAGGGTTGGTTAGGTTCGGTCATATATCTACGTCAATTTTAACTCCAATAAATTTTTGTTTACCTCATACATAATGAAATGGTTAGCTTTATCATTTCTTAAGAAAAAAAATCAGAGAATGTATATTAATTCAGGAAAATTTGGCTTATTAGGCAAATCGGGCCTGGCATAGTAGGCTGAGAAGTGCGTTCTGGCTACTAGGTACGACATATATATATATATATATATATATATATATATATATATATATATATATATATATATATATATATATATATATATATATATATATATATATATATATATATATATATATATATATATATATATATATATATATATATATATATATATATATATATATATATATATATATATATATATGTGTGTGTGTGTGTGTGTGTGTGTGTTCATATATACCTAAAAAGGTGGAGAGGAATGGCATGCAATGTTACATATGTTATTAAATGTAACACAAGCTACGTTCAACACAATTAAACATAGTGGTAAAACATACAGAAGTAATGATAAACATACCAAGGTCAAAACACAATTAAATTATAGTTAACGAGATCATGCAAGGCAGGGAGGGAGGAGTGGTTGTGTCCTGGCCTGGGTTCGAGGCCAGGTCACGCACCCTAGAACCCTACTTCTTCATCTACTCAAAATAAGTAGTAGATAAAGTAGACATAATGATATGTAATAAGATTTGTATTGCTTTATTGAGTAATACATGTTTCATGAATTTTAATATATGTAAAGTAGATAAGGAACATTTTTCTCGCTATAGAAAATGCCCCAGATTGCTGGTGCTGCATTTGCTTAATAAACGGTAACTGTCAGCTTGTAAAGGGAGCCGGTGGCTGAGCGGACAGCACGCTGGTCGCGTGATCCTGTGGACCTGGGTTCAATCCCAGGCGCCGGCGAGAAACAATGGGCAGAGTTTCTTTCACTCTATGCCCCTGTTACCTAGCAGTAAAATAGGTACCTGGGTGTTAGTCAGCTGTCACGGGGCTGCTTCCTGGGAGTGGAAGCCTGATCGAGGACCGGGCCGCGGGGACACTAAAAGCCCCGAAATCATCTCAAGATAACCTCAAGATAACCTGTCAGGGCGCTAAACTGCGCTGGATTTCAAGACTTAGACGAATACAGTTAACAGATCGTTCGGGATACATACATTTCTTTAACGTGTTTTCTCAGTTAACATGTGAATTGTCTGTCACTACATACAAAATATGTTTGATTTCCGATTACCAAGTATACTGTGTAGCTCCCGCGACCCGTGCCATCCACCAGGCCAGCCCACGTTATCCATATCCTGATATGGATAACGTTATCCATATCCTGTTATGGATAATATGGCTGTACCGGTTGTCATGAGAGATGACCCTTCCACAGTTGCTGACTAAACCCTGTTATCATCTGCCTGCATCATAAATCTTAGCCTTTGGAAGTAATAGACCTAGACTGTGCCAGCTGTCTCCTGCTCTCCATGGCCTCATGTGTCTTATTGCCAACATCAATTAAAATAAGATCATGTAAGTATCATTAAGATGAAGTAATGAGGTGAGGAGCGCCTCAACACTGGAGACTTTCATATCGCCTTCTGGTTATCATGATGGCGAAGAGATGAAGGAAGTGTTTCAATCTAGCTAGTAGGATGAGACACACTTTCTGCGGGCCTCATCCACACTAATATTTCTAGAGCATAGAGGTTACACCTCTAGATCACAGCGTCTAGACCAGTGTCTTAGAGTAGGAAGGTGTTGGTATAGATCGCCTCTTGTCCTCACTATCACTTCCTCTTCAAGTTGCATTGATTGCAATCTTATCAATCTAATTTAATGGAGATTCTACAAAAATAATTTTTGATTTACATTTATAATATAAAATGGAAAATGTTCAGCAGGTGTCATCTCAGCTACCAAACATGTATTGGTCGCAAGTGATTGGTTGATTGCTAATGTAAACAGTGAGGTAAATGTGTATGTTAGTATGGTTGGGTTGCTAACTCCCCTCACTCACCTGAAAGGGGTGTAACAAAGGAGCTATCTTAACATGGGACTGTAATGGAAGGAGCCTTTTATACACACACAAAGCTAACATATAACATTGAACCACAGTAAACAAACACAAAATTAAAATAGGGCAATCCCATCATGTGACGCGTTCCTAAAATGGGCCACTCTCAACAAGGGACACTGTTTAAATAGGGGCAATCTTAACACGAAACACTTTATCAAAATGTGGGGACAATCTTAACACGAAACACTTTATCAAAATGGGGGGCAATCTTAACACGAAACACTTTATCAAAATGGGGGACAATCTTAACACGAAACACTTTATCAAAAATGGGGGACAATCTTAACACGAAACACTTTATCAAAATGGGGGACAATCTTAACACGAAACACTTTATCAAAATGGGGGACAATCTTAACACGAAACACTTTATCAAAATGGGGGACAATCTCAACAATAGGCAAGGTTAAGAACAAACCCATCCTGAGTGATAATAAAGATGGGGGGGGGGGAGAAAAAGAGGGATGGGTAGTGAACCTGATGATGGGTCCCACTCGACGAATGTCTCGAGGCAACACTCGCCACAGCATCGGCGGCAACACACTCTCCACCTCATTACTGCAACACACGGAGTGTTGGGCACGTCAGCTGGGCCCTTGCAGGCCCACACGGCGATCCTAGCCACTTAGGATCACCTGTTGCTTGAAGCAACGAGACCCCTAAGTACATAGGATCACCTGTTGCTTGAAGCAACGAGACCCCAAGTACATAGGATCACCTGTTGCTTGAAGCAACGAGACCCCTAAGTACATAGGATCACCTGTTGCTTGAAGCAACGAGACCCCAAGTACATAGGATCACCTGTTGCTTGAAGCAACGAGACCCCTAAGTACATAGGATCACCTGTTGCTTGAAGCAACGAGACCCCTAAGTACATAGGATCACCTGTTGCTTGAAGCAACGAGACCCCAAGTACATAGGATCACCTGTTGCTTGAAGCAACGAGACCCCTAAGTACATAGGATCACCTGTTGCTTGAAGCAACGAGACCCCAAGTACATAGGATCACCTGTTGCTTGAAGCAACGAGACCCTAAGTACATAGGATCACCTGTTGCTTGAAGCAACGAGACCCCTAAGTACATAGGATCACCTGTTGCTTGAAGCAACGAGACCCTAAGTGCATAGGATCACCTGTTGCTTGAAGCAACGAGACCCCTAAGTACATAGGATCACCTGTTGCTTGAAGCAACGAGACCCTAAGTGCATAGGATCACCTGTTGCTTGAAGTTGCTATAACTTTAAACCATATCCTATCACTTCCTTTCCCAACAAAAGGTGATGCTTACATTAATATTCTATATAACAATACTTGCCTATCTACAAGCATGCTGAAATAAATTAATACTATCTTTCATGCTGCAAAATGCTGCATTCAGAGCAAGAAAGACTGGTTCTGCTGCAGAGTATACACACTCACCATTATGGTGAAGGGGTGAAGTGGGTAGGAGTGTTGCTCACGGCTTCCCAACACTGTGTTGTCCTAAGAATATCTTTTACATACTAAACTATGCTGCATTCTTTTAAGTGGTTAAAATAATGTGATTGGGAGTGAGCACTCTTGAGGCTTGACATTGTCGTGGTGGGAGATTGTCGTGGTCTTAGATTGTCGTGGTCTTAGATTGTCGTGGTCTTAGACTGTCGTGGTCTTAGATTATCGTGGTCTTGGATTGTCGTGGTCTTAGATTGTCGTGGTCTTAGATTATCGTGGTCTTAGATTGTCGTGGTCTTAGATTGTCGTGGTCTTAGATTATCGTGGTCTTAGATTGTCGTGGTCTTAGATTGTCGTGGTGGGAGATTGTCGTGGTCTTAGATTGTCGTGGTCTTAGATTGTCGTGGTCTTAGATTGTCGTGGTGGGAGATTGTCGTGGTGGGAGATTGTCGTGGTCTTAGATTGTCGTGGTCTTAGATTGTCGTGGTCTTAGATTGTCGTGGTCTTAGATTGTCGTGGTCTTGGATTGTCGTGATCAGAGATTGTCATGTTGTGGGATCCTAGGAATTTAAGACTGCAATGGTCTCAAACCGTCGTAGACGTTACACATCAGAAGAAGAACAACAACAACAACAAACAACAGTGTCACTCATCACCTCCTGAAGGAGACTCACTTCCCATTGTCTCCCGTTTTCTTTACACGTGACAGATATAAACTGAACCAACAGAGGGCTGCCTTGCGCCTCACTGGAGGAGTGCAACAGGCTATGAGACCATGTCAGACGCGCTGTGTCTAAACTGGAGGAGCTGTGCACACTGAAATCACACTGACGTTAATGTATCAAAGGAGAAAATCCGTGGGAGCTTTGAGTTGGATTCGAACCTGCTCACTTGGGTGGCCTCAATCTCTCTCTCCTTGCATCCGCCTCACTGTATGGAGACAGGTGGTGTGTTGATACTGACAGTAATAGGCTTGTTTGTATATCTGCTTATACACCTGCTTGTTTGTGTCCCCTTCTGTCAACCACCTGTTCTTTTTTTGACAGGTGGGTTATGAATACACGATTTTTGGACTTTTGAGAATTGTCCAGGACTATACAGGTCAGGAGGCTGTATACAGGTCTCCGGGCATGTATACCCGGAGGCGTCCGCCTGCTGGTGTATATCTCTGACACGCACCTACACCTGTGTATACAGCCATACCTCCCAGGTATCTACACTGTCTCCAGTCTTTGTTTCCATTTACGAGTCTTACATTCCGTCCCTATTCACCAAGAAGAAGAATGCAAAATATTATGACGTCGCCTGCTACTCCACGTCGTGACGTCTTTGCATATCCAAGAACCTAATGAGTAGACGCTCAAGATATATATATATATATATATATATATATATATATATATATATATATATATATATATATATATATATATATATATGTGTGTGTGTGTGTGTCGTACCTAGTAGCAGGGTTGCCAGATTCAAATTGCTAAAAGTAGCGAGCTGACGGTCTAAAAGTAGCGAATTTGTAATAAGAGTAGCCCAATTTTTTGTTTAGTGACTGATACGGGTTTCAAAGTAATCTATTATGATATATAGAGTACATTAAACGATTTTAATTGTTTTATTAACATTATCTCTGCATATATATATTTAACCAATATGATAATAGGATAACTTACCAATATTTACTGTTCGAAGCTTAATGGGTGTGAAGTCCTTCCACGTCTTTACAGTTGAAGATTACCAAGATCTTGATCTGCATCCACAACCTCGTTCTTGTATATTGCAGACTCATATTTAAGCATTGACATGAGTGGTTCAAATGACGAGCAACAAGTTACATTTTCTTCAAGATTGGTTTGAGACGTGAAATATAGCTTATTGGAGGGATCAGCGTACATTGAAAATAGTTGCCTTGCAACATATTTATCACAAGAGGAAAAAGCTATTTGGTAATGAGTTGTTAGAGAACCCCACTGATCAAACGGCCGCTTTACACTACCGCTCCTTGTCAACCATCGTCTTCCTGACAAAGGTATTAACTGTAAGGGATCTTTCCCATCATTTATCAATCTGTAAATTTCTAGATAACTTTCTCCCCTTAATGAAGATCTGTGGAACCAGGTGTAGCTTTTGGGATGAACTATTATTAACAATTAAGGTTAGGAAATCTATTGCCCCTGGGGAGGATTACTTTGCCTTGCGGTTACTTTTTCTTTCAAAGGTTCCTAGGATCAACGTTCCCGGGGGCCGGTCTCTGACCAGGGCGCTCCTGCGGAAGTGGTCTAGTCAATCAGGCTGTTGGACTCGGCTGTGATTTGTACAGATTATATTATTAAAGCATAAATAATCATCATTGAGTTTCTTAATATTAATAGCCCAAAGTAGCCCAACTTGCGTTTAAACTAGCCCAAAAAGTCGCAAGTAGCGAAATTAAAAACTTGGGAGCGTGGGGCTCTCAAAAGTAGCCCAATTCGCTACTTGTAGCCCAATCTGGCAACCCTGTATCTGACTCTCTGCACCTATTTTCATTTTCAAATTACGACTTTTTACACCGAAAATATGCCAATTACTGAAAACGGCGATGGGTCATATTTTGCCCAAACCCCCCTGCGGTTTTCAAAATATCTGAAATGTCGGAAATTTGACTCCTGACCGTGATTTTTGAGCCGAATTCTGACTCTCTGCACCTATTTTCATTTTCAAATTACGACTTTTTACACCGAAAATATGCCAATTACTGAAAACGGCGATGGGTCATATTTTGCCCAAACCCCCCTGCAGTTTTCAAAATATCTGAAATGACCGAAATTTGACTCTTGAGCGTGATTTTTGAGCCGAATTCTGACTCTCTGCACCTATTTTCATTTTCAAATTACGAATTTTTATACCGAAAATATGCCAATTACTGAAAACGGCGATGGGTCATATTTTGCCCAAACCCCCCTGCAGTTTTGAAAATATCTGAAATGTTGGAAACTTGATTCCTGAGCGTGATTTTTGAGCCGAATTCTGCAGTAGCCAGAACGCACTTCTCAGCCTACTATGCAAGGCCCAATTTGCCTAATAAGCCAAGTTTTCATGAATTAATTGTTTTTCGACTACCTAACCTAACCTAACCTAACTTTTTCAGCTACCTAACCTAACCTAACCTATAAAGATAGGTTAGGTTAGGTTAGGTAGGGTTGGTTAGGTTCGGTCAAATATCTACGATAATTTTAACTCCAATGAAAAAAAAATTGACCGCATACATAAGGAAATTGGTAGCTTTATCATTTCATAAGAAAAAAATTTGAGAAAATATATTAATTCAGGAAAACTTGGCTTATTAGGCAAATCGGGCCTTGCATAGTAGACCGAGTACGACGTTCTGGCTACTAGGTACGACATATATATATATATATATATATATATATATATATATATATATATATATATATATATATATATATATATATATATATATATATATATGCAACAATGATCACAAAAACACTGATCCAAGTATGCAGAATAACCACATATGAAAAATAGAAACTGCTTAACGCGTTTTCGGCTAATTCGCCTTCATCATGGTTTGAAGGCGATTCATGATTCTACTTTGCTCTGATGAAGGCGAATTAGCCGAAAACGCGTTAAGCAGTTTCTATTTTTCATATGTGGTTATTCTGCATATATATATATATATATATATGTCGTACCTAGTAGCCAGAACGCACTTCTCAGCCTACTATGCAAGGCCCGATTTGCCTAATAAGCCAAGTTTTCATGAATTAATAGTTTTTTTACAACCTAACCTACCTAACCTAACCTAACCTAACTTTTTCTGCCACCTAACCTAACCTAACCTATAGAGATAGGTTAGGTTAGGTTAGGTAGGGTTGGTTAGGTTCGGTCATATATCAACGTTAATTTTAACTCCAATAAAAAAAAATTGACCTCATACATAATGAAACGGGTAGCTTTATCATTTCATAAGAAAGAAATTAGAGAAAATATATTAATTCATGAAAACTTGGCTTATTAGGCAAATCGGGCCTTGAATAGTAGGCTGAGAAGTGCGTTCTGGCTACTAGGTACGACATATATATATATATATATATATATATATATATATATATATATATATATATATATATATATATATATATATATATAATTCTCCCGGAATTATGGAAACGCGATGAACATTATACAGACTTGACCTGGCCTCTACGACACGTGCCTGAACATTAAACATGACTAAACAACCGTGTCTTTAGCTCCTAAACGACGTAGTCGTAAAAGACCTCACAGCGCTATACGTTTATCTTTTCACACATACCGGTACATATGACACAATGTAAACAGGACTGAAGTACAAGGAACACTACACACAGGTGACAGATGAGACGAGAATTTGTCACCCAGTTTAAACGAAAACATTTATTGACACAAAAGTAACCTCATTGCTATGGTATAAATTCGTATCAAGTTAAAAAGTTCCGTAACAGGGGGGAGAGAGGGAATTATCAGGGGGAAACTATATAGCACTTTGGAAGGGGTCAGGATAAGGATTTGGGAATGGACGGGGGGAAAGGAATGGTGCCCAATTACTTGGACGGTCGGGGGGATTGAACGCCGACCTGCATGAAGCGAGACCGTCACTCTACCGTCCAGCCCAAGTGTTTGGGGGTTAGAAAAGTGACAAGTTTTATATTAAGACACAGCAAGACAGTCTGAACTACCAACGGGGTGTAGAAGCTTATACTGGATGACCTCTCACCTGAAGTGTGACCCCTTGATGACCTCGACCGCCAGCCTACCAGTGGTGCCATTGTAGGTCAGGCCCACCAGCAGCTCCGGCACGCCGCTGTGGGCCGAGTGGTTGGAACCCGTGGAGTCGCTTCGTGTCAAACTGCACACCTCCGTCCGACTCTCAGCGCGCTGGGGGCACGGGCACACGTATTACACCATACTCCTTTATCACTGTACACTGTTGTCACCGTACACTGTTGTCACCGTACACTGTTGTCACTGTACAGTGTTGTCACTGTACACTGGTGTCACTGTACAGTGTTGTCACTGTACAGTGTTGTCACTGTACAGTGTTGTCACTGTACAGTGTTGTTACTGTATAGTGTTGTCACTGTACAGTGGTGTCACTGTCCAGTGTTGTCACTGTCCAGTGTTGTCACTGTACAGTGTTGTTACTGTATAGTGTTGTCACTGTACAGTGGTGTCACTGGACAGTGGTGTCACTGTACAGTGTTGTCACTGTCCAGTGTTGTCACTGTACAGTGTTGTCACTGTATAGTGTTGTCACTGTACAGTGGTGTCACTGTACAGTGTTGTCACTGTCCAGTGTTGTCACTGTACAGTGTTGTTACTGTACAGTGTTGTCACTGTACACTGTTGTCACTGTACACTGTTGTCACTGTACACTGGTGTCACTGTACAGTGTTGTCACTGTACACTGGTGTCACTGTACACTGTTGTCACTGTACACTGTTGTCACTGTACAGTGGTGTCACTGTACAGTGTTGTCACTGTACAGTGGTGTCACTGTACAGTGTTGTCACTGTACAGTGGTGTCACTGTACACTGTTGTCACTGTACACTGTTGTCACTGTACACTGGTGTCACTGTACAGTGTTGTCACTGTACAGTGGTGTCACCGTACACTGTTGACACTGTACAGTGGTGTCACTGTACACTGTTGTCACTATACAGTGTTATACTATATACTATATCACTGTATACTATATCAGCACACAATATAATCACTACTGTTCCTCGCGTCTCTGAAGAATGTGGAGGACTTTCTCAAGAGCACACCTCACCTCGCCTCTGAACAGTTATACTGCAGTGATCAGGGATGTTTGGATACGCCCCTAGACCACTGCGCTACAGAATTTTGATTTGGCACTGGGCTTGAGGCCTATCTTCCGCTGGAGGGTTAATAAATAGCTTATGGATCAATTAGCAAGTGTAGTTTAGTTTACCTCTAAAGTAAATTCATTGCATATACACCGAGAGATACTTTGCGATGAGGATTCCGGGGCTTAGCGTCCCCGGCGGCCCGGTCCTCGACTAGGCCTCATGGAGATGGAGTACACTTCTTTATGTATTCTGAGGTAACATGCTTACATTTCGGGTACAGTAAGTACCCGAATTGTGCTGAAAATCCCTGGAGCAGAGAACTCTGGGGCTCGAACCTGCGTCCAGCGTCGCCCCAAGAGGTGATTGTGATGTCATTGTGTACATAAATATGTAGGTTATATACATGTAGGTAGTGTTGCTTACCGCGAGGTTGGCCCTGGGCTCGAGTGTGAGCCAGAAGGTGTTGCCGAGGGTAAGGTTGATGGAGGCGAAGGGCACTATCACCTCCCCGACCATCTTCTCCCGCCGCATGCGCTCACACCCGTACAGCCGCAGCCGCACCCCCAGCTGCTGCACCTCCTCTGTAACCAGACGCAAGGTGGACCATCAGGTGAGATGCTCCATACTGTTTTAAGATATTCTCACTCTAGGATGCTCTCATATAGGTCTAAGATGATGCAGTCATATTGTCCTAGGTGCTGCGATGCTGGTCTAAGATGACGCCTAGCCTATCTAAAATAATCTCAAGACCATCGCTGAAAGTTCTCACTCTCATCCCGTCAATTTAGAAAATGTCATCATTTGACGTATAATGAATCTAAGCGCTCAGAGTCTAACCCGACTCTGCCATAGAGACGACTTTCCTGCTACCTGACTCTTCTTTAACTAACCTGGATTGATCTTGGTGAACACAAAGGCTTCGTTGAACTGCGGGTTTTCTCCGGGCCTGATGCGCGTCTTGTGCTTCTGCTTGCGGGCAGGAAGCAGCAGCACTCTCACCTGGGGAGTCAAGGAGCGAGGTGAGGGTGTGGTGCGTATCGGGCAAGTGCTACAAGGAGAAGGTTTACTCTCGAAAATGATCCAAAGAATTCATTTACGAAGTTCGACGAAAAATGACTCGTATAACAAGTCCGTGCACCGCTTGCGGACAAATAAGATTAGCATACGCTTACAAATATGTGAAGTTTGAGTAAATGTAGATAATGTATGGCATGAGCTTGCGTGTGTGTGTGTGTGTGTGTGTTTACTAGTTGTGTTTTTGCGGGGGTTGAGCTTTGCTCTTTCGGCCCGCCTCTCAACTGTCAATCAACTGTTTACTAACTACTTTTTTTTTTTTTTTTTTTTTTTTTTTTTTTTTTTTTCACACACACCCCAGGAAGCAGCCCGTGATAGCTGACTAACTCCCAGGTACCTATTTACTGCTAGGTAACAGGGGCACTTAGGGTGAAAGAAACTTTGCCCATTTGTTTCTGCCTCGTGCGGGAATCGAACCCGCGCCACTGAATTATGAGTCCTGCGCGCTATCCACCAGGCTACGAGGCCTGTGTGTGTGTGTGTGTGTGTGTGTGTGTGTGTGTGTGTGTGTGTGTGTGTGTGTGTGTGTGTGTGTGTGTGTGTGTGTATATACCCACCTGGGTATTAGCAGCTCCTCCCCGCTCCTTGCTAGGGACATCCTTGGCCTGGAGGATGTGAACGGTGAGCGTCTTGGTGGGGAGGTCGTAGGCGAACCCCGCCTCAATGGTGCCGCACCTCACCAGCAGCACCTCCCCCACCGTCCCGTCTTCACCGCACTCCTGAAACACACTCTCCGGTCACCCACACCACCACAACACTGTGCTCACCCACACCACCACAACACTGTGCTCACCCACACCACCACAACACTGTGCTCACCCACACCACCACAACACTGTGCTCACCCACACCACCACAACACTGTGCTCACCCACACCACCACAACACTGTGCTCACCCACACCACCACAACACTGTGATCACCCACACCACCACAACACTGTGATCACCCACACCATCACACCACTGTGGTCACCCACACCACCACAACACTGTGCTCACCCACACCACCACAACACTGTGCTCACCCACACCACCACAACACTGTGCTCACCCACACCACCACACCACTGTGCTCACCCACACCACCACACCACTGTGCTCACCCACACCACCACAACACTGTGCTCACCCACACCACCACAACACTGTGCTCACCCACACCATCACACCACTGTGCTCAGCTAACATTTGCAAAAGTGTCCTCGTAATCACATACAAAACGAAAACAGAAATAAATCTATGGTAAAAATCTTTGGTAAAATCTTTGTCTCAGGAGCGAACCTGACACTTGTTACTGTGACTTGCAACTCCTTCTCCAGCCCAGCAACACCTTAACTACTGACTCTGTTATACTAAGTGCAGTTTTTGACTTATTTAACAGACAACCAACTCGCCTGGTGGTGGGTACCGTCGTAGGGTACTCACCTGGTGGTGGGTACCGTCGTAGGGTACTCACCTGGTGGTGGGTACCGTCGGAGGGTACTCACCTGGTGGTGGGTACCGTCGTAGGGTGCTCACCTGGTGGTGGGTACCGCCGTAGGGTACTCACCTGGTGGTGGGTACCGTCGTAGGGTACTCACCTGGTGGTGGGTACCGCCGTAGGGTGAGCGGCTGGGTGACATCTGCCGGTACGCGCGTGGATCGCGGTGGCGGAGCGCTCGGTGGGTCAGCAGGTCGTCGTCGCCGCTAGTCGTCGACCCGGAAGACGAGGCTGACGACGACGACACGCCCACGCCCACGCCCACGGGCTCCTCCTCGCCGCCCACGCCCGCGCGGCCTTTCTCGGCAAGGGAGATGAGGTCGGTGTTGGCGTCGCACTTGCTGCACCCGTCTCCTCGACCTGTGGTGGGGGGGTGTAGAGGTGTCACGCTGGCCCCTCATACTCTCCCTCATACTGTCCCTCATACTCTCCCTCATACTGCCTCTAATACTACCGTTAATACTACTACTACCATCTCTCACCTGCCCCTCCCTCCCTCCTCCCTTCGCCCGGCCCTAATCTCTCACCTGGGGGCGCGCCATCTTCGGGTGTCAAGTACTGGGAAGGGGATCTCGAAGGGCCAAGCTGGTGGTAGTTGTGGTGTCCATATTGGTTGTAGGAGTGGTAGGCAGGGGTGTGGTTGTGGTGGTTGGCGTGGTTGTGGTGGTTGTCTCGTAGCGCTGACGGGAAGCTTTTAGAAGTGGAGAGCCGGGTGGAGGCCTCCTCCTCGCTGTCGCTGGAACTCTCCCCATCTCCGTAGTTGTAGGCTGCACCTGCAAGAAGTTGTTGTTGTTGTTTAAGATTCGCTACCTGGAACAAAAAGTTCCAAGCAGCACGGGCTATGGTGAGCCCGTCACCTGCGAGAAGACACGAGCTATGGGGGGGGGGGGGAAGTTATGTTGGAAATAACCAACAGTTTCATACATCTCTTGTATTTTTATACAACATTTTGTATTAACCATAAGTAGTTACTAAAATTACTAACTTGTAAAATTAATCATTATCATGATTTATAATACGCAATATTTGCCAAATTCTTCCTACGACGTGTTCCAACATGTTGTTAAAGATTCGCTACCTGGAACAAAACGTTCCAAGTAACACGGGCTATGGTGAGCCCGTAGTGCCTTTTTGATGTTCCAACAGGTGACACCAGGAAATATCTCCACATTGTTAGACTTATAACAGAGTCCAGTTTATCACTTCCTATACTAAGGATAATTGTTTACTAATAAGTTTATTTTCGTAGCACATTACTGCTTACTGGAACTCCCTTGTTTAGTTGAAATTAAACACTCTAGAGTGGAAATTATTCAAATGTCAAATAATTCCACTTTATATTCCTCATTTATCTACGTAGCTTCAATAAAGTGACCTATGCGACGAGAGGTTATATTATAACCATGTGCTTGCTCGACATCGCGTTGTAACAAGTGTGTTCTGTCGTTGTCGCTCCACACTTTTCCAAGTAATTCAGTCGAACAACTAAGCTGACATTATTTTGAGCCCTAAGCTGACTGGCTTAGGGTTCAAGGGGCAGGGGTTATGGGGGGTTAGTGTTTTTCAGAAGAGTTATATAATGATGGAATGAAGTTGCTAAATATGACTTCGTACAACATAGCCAACATTTCAGACTTGACTTCCTAAATATGTCAAAGGAAGGCGTTAGAGGCCGATATTTCTTAATGTGTGGCAATGGAGCCAACCCTACCTCCCCCCCCCCCCCCCCGACTAGCCTATGATAATCCCATACCTCAAATGTTTCATGTGTGGCATTTGGATGAGGCTAGCCCCAAGTCTCTAACTTTCGACACGCACAGAAACTGATATTCTCTCTTTCACACACACACACACACACACACACACACACACACACACACATACACACACACACACACACACACACACACACACACACACTATATATATATATATATATATATATATATATATATATATATATATATATATATATATATATATATATATATATATACTGGGAAGGGGATCTCGAAGGGCCAAGCTGGTGGTAGTTGTGGTGGCCATATTGGTTGTAGGAGTGGTAGGCAGGGGTGTGGTTGTGGTGGTTGGCGTGGTTGTGGTAGGCAGGGGTGTGGTTGTGGTGGTTGGCGTGGTTGTGGTAGGCAGGGGTGTGGTTGTGGTGGTTGGCGTGGTTGTGATATATATACATTATATATATATATATATATATATAATGGGTAACCCGGCTGTGCCCTAGTCTCTTAAGTCCTCTTCCCTTTGACGTCTCACGTCCCCATCCCCTCATCCTCCCTCTCTACCCTTCTCCCCCTTCTTTCAGAAAATATATTATTACGATCACTGAAACACCCATGAAAATCACGCCATATATTTCACACTTGACTCCATGAACATACCCGGGTTTGTCTAGAATTGCTAATATTCTTAGCAGTTCTTGGAATTTCATTTAGATCTACGATTACCCCTGCAACAACCTGTAAAAGGTACCCATACCTCCCACACGTAGGGAGGTACCTACCCTTGAGAGAGGTAATTCTTGCCTCACTTGATCCCTGAGACACGTAGGTACCTCCCTATCAGGTGAGGGGAGTCTTTATCAACCAGGTCAACCAGGGGTGCGACCATAAAACCACCGCAGCACCGTCAACCTGAGCGTAACAAGCAGTTAATCAGCTCGTCCTATCTTGTAACCTTTGATATCTTACACCTTAACCTTCCCTCCCTCAGAGAGAGAGAGAGAGAGAGAGAGAGAGAGAGAGAGAGAGAGAGAGAGAGAGAGAGAGAGAGAGAGAGAGAGAGAGGGAGAGAGGGAGAGAGAGAGAGAGAGAGCTAGTGAAGAAGTGAGTATTAACTCCTTTGGTTATCTAGCTGAATAAAATATGTTAGTTGCTAGGCTTGTGGTGAAGTTAATTCAAATATTTAGCGATGCAATCAGATGGCGTTATCAGGTGTGCTCACTCACGGTCCACACCTGACAACACCAGCTGATTCACAGACGTACCACCTGCTTCTACCTGCCCACGAGAAAATAATCAATTCGGTACAATGATAAATAGATCAATCAAGATATTCAATGATTCTTAAATGATCACATCAGATCGGACACAGCACGTGCTGGCTACTGGGGTCAGTGCTGTGCTGATCGGGACGTGTCATCTCAACACTGATAACAGAGCTACTGGTATACTCTTCAGGTGTTTCTATAGACGGTCGCGCATCTTAAAGGTTTAGGTGATATCACTTCTGTACATAGTGACCGTCCAGTTATAGTGACGATGTTTAGTTTATCAGCCGACTAGACTAAGACCACGGGGCTTAATACCTGTTCCTCATCACAACATTGGGCTCACAACATCACAACACAACATGTTCTCGCTGATCCAGCCGCGAAGCCCCGACTCACAACTGATTTCGTTCGAACACTTCCGGAACAAGTGCTTCACTGACGACTTTTCTTCGACGCTATAAATGCTTCACCCGCGTACTACAAATACAAATAATCGCCAAAAGAACCTAAACACCTAACCTAACCTATGGCAATATATGCACAATATACTAATATATTATAATACTAATTTATATTTGAGAAAATTCCAGTTTTGAATGAACAGCATGGTAAATTTTATGAATGCGTCTGTGGGGTCGACCGCTGGATGGAATGGACTTGAATTGAGGACAGGTTGGTAGCGGATATGTGGGCCTGCGGGCCGCTCTAAGCAACAGTCTGTTGAAACGCTCTATCACAAGTCGAGCCTTTCCACCAGACCGGCGTTGGCGAGTAGAAGAACTCCCAGAACCCAGTTCAGGTATGGTATACTCGAGGTATGTTAGTGTAGCTACTGCAGGGGGGTGGGGAGGGGAAGTGAGGAGGAGGGAGTGAGAGAGAGAGAGAGGGGAAGTGAGAGAGAGAGAGGGGGGGAAGTGAGAGAGAGAGAGGGGGGGAAGTAGGGAGATCCTTCCTCACCTAGAGGGGAAGCCGTTAGCTTCGTCTCTTTAATATTGTGAAACTTTGATGACTTGGCCGATGCCAGTCACACACCCTGGTGCCTCTCTCCTCTCTCCTCTCTCTCTCTCACTCAATCTCTCTCTCGCTCTCTCTCTCCTCTCACTCCTCTCTCACTCACTCTCCACTCTCATTCTTACTTCTCACTCACTCTCATCTCTCACTATTCCCGTTTATTCAACCCTAGCTCTAGCTCTCAATCTTCCTTTCACTCACTCTTCTCTCTCATTCTCGTTTCCTCACTCTCTCTCTCTAACCTTCCTCATTTACTCTCTCTCGTCCCCCATTCAATCGACTTTCCTCTCTCGTTCACTCACTTTCTTTTCTCTCACTCTCCCTTCTTTCTGGGTGGCGTTCCAGTGAGGGTGATGCCCATGTATGCTCAGGTCACAACAACCCTTGTTGTGACCTGGGTAATAACCTTTGACCTCTTACTGATATATTCCCAAGGATAACTAACAGTCCTCTGTTCTATTACGTCAGACTTGGATAACTGACAGAATAAATAATGCTCCTCTGACCCCCTGGCCTTGACCATGACCGTTGAACTTTGACCCTTGACCTGCTGCCCTCTGACAAATCAGGGGTCAGAGGGGACCCCTGACTTTGACTCCGATTGCTGACCTGTGATCTATGACTCTTGACTCTGACCCCCGGACGCTGACCTCTGACCAGTGATTCTTGACCCTGATTGATAACCTCTGACTTGAGAACACTGACCTTTGACCCGAGACTGACCCTAACCAAAGACCTCAGTGGTTAGGGGTCTAACCAGTGACCCCTGATCCTGCAACTGACCCCTGGCCCGTGAATGCTGAGCCTGACCCGTGATCCGACCCTGACTGCTGACTTCTGAACTGTGACCTCTAACCCTGACCTCTGACCTCTCCATCAATCAATAATACTTAATTATGTATCGCTCTATTTATTTGTTCTTTTGACTGTTAATGTATTCTTAAATGATAAAATGGCCTCGTGACCTAAAGTGACCCTGTGATCTTAAGTGATCTCCATGGCCTTAAGTGACCCAGTGACCTTAAGTGGCCCCGTAACTTTTGAGTGATCCCGTGACCTTGAGTGACTTCGTAACAACCACATGAACGCCGCCGCAGATGTACGTGACCCTGACCTTTACCACGGTGGAACCTATTGACCTTATTCTATTTCACTTCCCCCTCCCACTGACGAGGTCACACCTGGGGGTCACGCTCTTCCACCTTCCTCTGTCAGTGTCCCTGTCCCTCCCTCCCCAGCTCTCCTCCTCTTTTTTGACATGTCTTGCCCGTCATGTCTGCTGTCACCTGCCGCCCTCTCCGTCATGAGGCAGGACGACATCTCTCCGACACCTCACTGCTGTCGCCTCCGACCCTCCTCGCCTTCTTCAGGGCACCGTGGGAGGACATCATCCAGGAGGACGTAAAGAAGAGAAGAAGAAGAAGAAGAAGAGGGGAAGAAACAGAGTAAAAAAAGTGAGAGGAGGAAAAACAGAAAATAGAGGGAAAGAAGTGAAAACTAAAAATAGGATGGAGGAGGAAAAGGTGGAGATTAAAAGGAGAAGAAGATTAAAGGTAGAAGAGAAGAAGGCTACAGGGAGAGCTGGAGAACGAAGGAGGGTCTAACACGAGGGGAATGTGGGTAGGTATGAGGAAGGTAAGGGGGAATGGAGGAGGGAGGGAGAGAGAAGAGAGAGAGAAGAAGAGAGAGAAGAAGAGAGAGAAGAAGAGAGAGAGAGAGAGAGAGAGAGAGAGAGAGAGAGAGAGAGAGAGAGAGAGAGAGAGAGAGAGAGAGAGAGAGAGAGAGAGAGAGAGAGAGAGGAGGGAGAGGGGTATGGAAGGGGGAAGGGAGGAGGGTTTAAGCAACAAGAGGAAGGCATATGAGAGGCGTGGCTGGTTACCTTGACAACCACCGTACACTGTTCAACAGACACTTGCGTCATGGCGTAGTGGAGCGTATAATGCGTCGCTATATATACACACACACGGGTCGCACCCCATCAACACGCTGCCGTGTGGGCCAGACACACACACACACATCATGCCACAACACACCATGGCCACCCGCGCCCCCTCCAGCTGGTACCGCCCAGCCCGCCTGGCCACACCCTCACACCAACACCGCTGACGGAGTCGTCTCTCTCTCTCTGGGCCGCGGCAGTCGGCCAGCTTGGGCCAGCAGGGAGCGTGGTTCACCAGGAACTAGAAACGGGAAGAGTCGATGTCGCTAAGGTTGTGGTGGCGGGTGTTGCCGGCTCCAGGCATTGGGGACGTGGCTCTCTCTGATAGGTCTTAGCTGGTACCATTCATCTTCACCGCTTGAGCGGCTGCCGTTCATGTTCACCGCTTGCGCGGCTACCGGCCATGTTCACCGCTTGCGCGGCTACCGGCCATGTTCACCGCTTGCGCGGCTACCGGCCATGTTCACCGCTTGCGCGGCTACCGGCCATGTTCACCGCTTGCGCGGCTACCGGCCATGTTCACCGCTTGCGCGGCTACCGGCCATGTTCACCGCTTGCGCGGCTACCGGCCATGTTCACCGCTTGCGCGGCTACCGTCCATGTTCACCGCTTGAGCGGCTACCGTTCATCTTCACCTCTTGAGCGGCTACCGTCCATGTTCACCGCTTGCGCGGCTACCGTCCATGTTCACCGCTTGAGCGGCTACCGTTCATCTCTATGACCAAATCAAATACCATTTATCGGGGAGATTAATAAGGTATCAAATATATTACAAAATAGAACACGAAACAATGGATATAAAGTGGATAAGTTTAGATTTAGGAAAGACCTGGGTAAATACTAGTTGGGAAACAGAATGATTGATTTGTGGAACAAATTACCGAGTAACATGATATATCACTTGATTGTTTCAAGAGTAGTCTAGACATATACATGAATGACTTCAGCCGGACATACATTAGTAGCTGTGTCTCGTATGGGATAAAATAAACTATTAAAAAATAGTTTTTAAACCATAAATTTATTATATTACATGTTAGAATTTTGTGTGTGTAGCTTGGGCGAGGTTAGGTTAGGTGTCTGTTGACAATTATTTGTATTAGCAGTATGTTGGTGAAACGATAATGGTGGTGGGATTCGAACAGGGGGTCGACAGCGAAGCATTCTTCGAGATAAGTTCAAGCGTCCAACCTGCTCTCAAACTCAAATATTCACAATAACTCAAATAATAAACTCAAATATTCACAATAAATTATTATGTCACATATGCACTTATTCATAAGCAAGATATTGATTATAATAAGTGTGAGAACGGGTTGCCTAGAGAGCTGACAAGGACCTAGCTCCCGGTCAGCGGTTATTAACTTTACGGAGGAGCAAAACACGGCTACCACAACACAAAACGTTGAGACATCAGCAGTTTATCTCTTAATTGTGCCGTTCTCAACAACATCACACCATCAGCAATCATTCAGTCCTCACAGGTTAACTATTATACACTTAAACATGCTGCTCCTGTTGGAGGAAGCGGAGCGACTGAGAGACACTTACCGAGTTCCTTGAGTTTGTCTAGGCTGGAGACGGGTTCGTCGCAGCAGGGGAAGCCGCTCACGGTGTAGAAGCAGAGTTTCTTGTTCAGGTAGAGGAACAGCACGAAGAGGAACACCACAAACGCCGCCACCGCTCCCAGGAATGCTGTCGCCTCCACCGGCACTGGGGGAGAGCCAGAGACACTGTGAGTGTTGGTGTTGAGGGAGAGAGTTGGTGAACGGGAGAGTAGATCTGTGGTGGTGAGGGAGAGAGCTGGTCTGTGGTGGTGAGGGAGAGAGCTGGTCTGTGGTGGTGAGGGAGAGAGCTGGTCTGTGGTAGTGAGGGAGAGAGCTGGTCTGTGGTGGTGAGAGGGGGAGAAAGAGCCGGTCTGCAGTGTTAATGAAACTCTGTGCAATAAATACAGCAGTTTGAAATATTCACAAGAGCTCGCACACAGAGAGTTAGGCGCCAGTGAGTCTGGAGATGGGCTACTTCACTGTTAAAGCCGGTTGACACCGTTACTTAAATTTCCCCCAGTGTGAAACAACTAATACTCCAGTTAATCCTTTTGACCTCCTCCAGGTCATCAGAGAGAACATAGAGGCTGTATTTACTATCAAAACATCACGTGGAGTAAAAACATTAATTTCAACTAATTTGTGTAAAGTTTATCCAATTACATTCACCGTCTCATATCTGGGCCGCGTCCCCATAGATCTTAGTCTATCTATGCATTTGACTGAGACTTGAACTTCAGGAACTCCCTCCAACGAGTCCTGAACGTGTTCAGGGAACAGAAACAGACAGTGGGAGAGACAGACGTAAAGACAGGACAGTCATTATCTTTATGAGACAGACAGCCTTATCCATATTTGCTCTCCTGTCGATTTTGAGACACCAGAGTCAGTCTGATTGTCTGAATGTAATTCCTGTGCCAGTAGCCTAGTTTCTGTGTCAAGATGTGTACTGTTACCTTGCTTAACAAGTGTCTTGACACTTGGCTGCCCCGTATAACAGACTCTGATATTTATGCGGACTAGTGGTGTTAACTGTCTTGAAGGAAATTCTCCATTTCATTTAAGTGCATTTAATAATAAGTAATTATTACATCATGTTGTTGATAACGTTCTTATATTTAACTGTGACTTCATTTACCTTGTAACTTTTGATCATTAACCTGGACATAACTTGCTTCCGTATTGTTGTTATTGAGAGATCTAAATCTGAACTTGGGGCCGGATCTCTGAGTAGCTTGAAAGTCATTACATAAAGTAAGAGTTGGTAATAGAGCTGGGGCTATGTTTAGAGCCAGAACAGGACCTAGGTTTAGAGTCGGGGCTAGGTTTAGAGCATGAATTAGGTTTAGAGCTGAGGCTCTAAATACTGGCCACAATTGAAGACCCCACCAAACTTTTCTAAGCAGGAAATTAATATTCAAACAAATCGAGGAAGACACAGACAGAGAGAGAGAAAGAGAGAGAGAAAGAAAGAGAGAGAGAGAGAGAGAGAGAGAGAGAGAAAGAGAGAGAGAGAAAGAGAGAGAAAGAGAGAGAGAAAGAGAGAGAGAGAAAGAAAGAGAGAGAGACGCTACTCCAACACAAAAGTTTCTGCAGGATCTATGCAATAAAGATTAATGCCGCTTTGATAAAGAGAACTTCTTAGTAAGGGGATAAAAGTGTCGGAGGGTCAAAGTCAACAGTCGTTTATTTTACTCAGAAATATGACATAATCTTTATTGACAACGTAGTGGAACAATTTACCTTGCGCACTAAACTCTATATTTTGTCTGTAACAGACGTAAGCTAGAGCACGTGTCAGAGACATAGTGGTGGGCGCGTATGTCTCCTTCAAAACCAAAAAAAAAAAATAACCTTCAAAATAAGGCTTTATAGACTAGGGCAGTAAGGTAAAAATAGATTAGGAGAGCTTGTAAAAAACCAAAAGTTTTAATGCAGTAAAGATAAAGTGCATAAAGTTGGTCTTTTCATTCACCACATAAATTGATTAGATCGAAAGCAGTGTCCTAAAACGTGGCTGAAGATCTTTATCTAAAAAGAGAATACTGTATATTCAAACTAAATGCTACCAAAAATACCTATACCTATCAACGGTATAGGTTAAGTAATAATTGTAATTAAAAAGCAATAAGATGCTTATCTTAACATACTAAGAAGGTTAGGTGAGGTCGGTGTTTTCTATGAAGCTTTTCAAGGTAAACTAAAATATTCACAATCAATTAGTATGTCACATATACACTTATTAAATAAGCCAATATTGACTATAAGCAAGTGCGAGAACGGGTTGAGCATAGATGGGTCGGGGGTGACCCCCTTTAGGAGGTTGGACTCCTATTGCGACAACCAACGACTCCTATGAAGGAACTATGAAGAGAGAACACAAGGGAGAGAGAGAGAGAGAGAGAGAGAGCGAGACAGACAGAGAGAGAGAAAGAGAGAGAGAGAGAGAGAGAGAGAGAGAGAGAGAGAGAGAGAGAGAGAGAGAGAGAGAGAGAGAGAGAGAGAGAGAGAGAGAGAGAGAGAGAGAGAGAGAGAGAGAGAGAGATTGGGAATCAATATCTTAGCCTTCAAGTCGGTAGCGGGGCGCTGGCTTCGTCTTCCCGGCAAATCGGTCATTTATTTATTTATCGCTGTCTGACTGTCTGTCTCTGTCTTTCTGTCTGTCTGTCTGTCTGTCTGTTTGTCTCTCTCTCTCTCTCTCTCTCTCTCTCTCTCTCTCTCTCTCTCTCTCTCTCTCTCTCTCTCTCTCTCTCTCTCTCTCTCTCTCTCTCTCTCAACTAAGGCTAGGGTTCATAAGGGCTGTCAAATGACGTACCTAGTGAAAGTGCAAGCAAGAGCTATTATTCTACCTCAGCTCATCTCAAGCCTGCTTCTAGAAACTCATTTATTTCATGAGAATGAACTTTGAAACTATCACATAGGGAACTATCGTAAAAGGAACACGGTGAAACTACTGGCAAGAGCTGTAATCCTTCCTCGGCTAAGTTGAAACCTACTCCTAGAGGCCTATTTATTTCATGAGCCTGTTATATGCATCAGTAGATAATCATGTGATCAGTTGACCTGATCTCCCATGTATCATCCTGTTGAGCGAACAAATTCCAGATGCGCGTCAGCCTAGGACTGAATGATCGCTGATGGCGTGATGTTCTTGAGAAAGGCACTTCCAGCATGAGAATTTTAAAGGTTGAGAGCCCCTAGTGCTACGGGTGGTAACTATTGATAGTCCACGGAGTTGGGCCAGGTGCGGAACTTTGAGGATGTTGGCCTTGTACATAACAGTAAGACCAACGCCACGACGGGATCGTCTCTCTCTCTCTCTCTCTCTCTCTCTCTCTCTCTCTCTCTCTCTCTCTCTCTCTCTCTCTCTCTCTCTCTCTCTCTCTCTCTCTCTCTCTCGCTCGCGTATTCTCTCTTTAGACATCTCGTAACAAAGGGCCGAGCAGTTCTCCCCGGCCTCTTGACCACCAACAGGCGCACTTGTGGAGGGTGGGGGTGGGGGAGTGGGGGGGGGGGGTGGACAAGAGCACAGTGTCGCGGGTGCTCACTTGTCCCCCGCCACCTGCAGGAGCAACAAACGTGGCGGGGAATATACTGGCGGGCCGGGAGCACGCAGGACGAACATTGTTATACCGACTTCCATGGTTGGCTGTGGCTAACACAGCTGTGCTTCACCCCTTTATGTACGCACCTGTTTGTACCTCTTAGACTGCGCTTCGTCTCTTGGATCCCGCCTTTCGAACTGCCTATTGTTTAATGTAATGGCTCCCGATCTCAACTGATTCCTTTTTTTCTACTTATGAAATTGTTGATAATGCTGGCTTCTAGTGCATGATTTTACCATTCCTTTACTCACCTATGTGTGCCTGAAGAATCGAGATTTAGCTCTTGGAACCCGCCCGTCTAGCCGCTGGTTATAAAATACAATGAGTCCTGCCTTAATTATATCTCTATTATATCCACTTTGGAAATCATGAATGGAGTTTGTTCTACAACTTGCTCCTTTGCTTCACTCCATTTTCCCACTACTCTTACGCTAAAAAATAACCTTCTATAATCTCTGCGACTCTTCTGAATCTCAAGCTTCCATCTGTGCCCTCTTGTTCCCTCTCCATCATGTCTCTTCTCTCCTTTTTCCTAGTAACGTCAAGTCTAGTTATTTAAGTCCTTCTTCATATCCCATTCCCCTCAATTCCGGGACAAGCCTCGATGCAAATCCCTGAACCGTTTCTACTTTTATGAGGTGTATTTTAAGAATACTATTCTATAAAAAAAAAAACGGAATACCATTAAGATACAACAGACTTCCTGAACAAAATAGCCAGCATCAGGGGGTCCAGTTCCAAGCGGAGCCTGTCTTTTCTCACTGGATGTGGTATGGCTCCACCCGAGCATACCACAGAGAGAGGCAGCCAAAGTGGTAGCAACCTTTTTTGATGAAAACAAACACAAAATTACACAGCAATTACGAGAAGCAGGAGTGTGGAGGCCGCCTCACAGACAGTTATAGGAGGAAACCATACTCCATGTAATGAGGGATACCCTCCTTCAATTTGATGGTAAGGCATATAGACAGACGAAGGACACTGCCATAGGAGGGTCCAGTAGCGTAGCTATTGCTGACATCTGTATGCATGTAGTATTTGAATGGGAGAGATCCCACAGAGAAGACGCCCCAGCAGTGTACTACAGATATATAGACGATATCTTTGGAGTCATGGTAGGAGGACTCCCACGTCTAGAAGGGTGCTTTGCTTGGGCCAACACAGTCCACGGAAATATCAAATTTACCCCAGAACACGACGACACCACAGTAAATTTCCTAGACATCAAGGTGTACGTGGACGAAACAACCCGACACCTGAACACTAAGGCGTATTACAAACCTACGAACCTTCATACATACCTGAAGTTCGACTCGTGCCATCCGCTAGCCCTAAAGAAATCATTACCCTTCTCCCTAGGTTTACGTCTTAAAAGAATATACAGCAAGGATGAAACCCTCTACCCGCAGCTAGACGACCTATGGGAGATGTTTAGGCATATAGAGGTTACCCTTAAGAAACGCTGAACCACACCCAAGAGAAACTACGCGGAAAGACCAGAGGACAACTTCTCAGGCGCCTGGCCCCACGGTTGGAGGATAGGAGATGGATCCTCCTTTCCCTGTTCTTTCCTAATTTTGCTGGGAAACCAAAACAGAAACTCTCAGACGTATGGGCCTGGATGAGGGAGACATACAGTGACCACCCCTCTTGGGAGAACTTCCCACAAAATCCTTCAATGATTGCGTGGAGGCGAGGTAAGTCCTTCAAGGACCACCTCGTAGGAGCAGGTCTACAACCCGGCACCCACGACCCGACAAGGGAGTAGGACAACCATGCCGAAGGAACCAGTCAAGACCCATCAGCGCAGACCTAACCTGACACAGGAGCCTGCACAACACACCAAGGTAACCGAAGTATGTGGAGTGGTTAGGAGGGGGCCAGCATGCAAACAATCTGCCCCTACACCTGTCCCCCCTCACCTGCCCCCTCACATACCCCCCTCACCTGCCCTCCCTCACCTGCCCTCCCTCACCTGCCTCTGCACGCTATGCGGCCCCAACACTGACCGCCGGGGTTCCCCTCTATGAGTCACTTCTCTCAGCATTCCAGATGTTCGTGTCACTAACTAGGTCACCCTTCCCCTCATGCCACCCCTCAGGGGAGAGGGGGAGGGAGAGAGAGAGAAAGAGGGGGGGGAGGGGGGAGGGGGGAGGGGGGAGGGGGGGAGTTGGGAGGGGGGAGTTGGGAGGGGGGAGTTGGGAGTTGGGAGTTGGGAGTTGGGAGTTGGGAGTTGGGGAGATGGGGAGATGGGGAACTATCAGTACAAAGCACCAAGCCATCATCACTACATATGAATCTATAACAACAACAACAACAATCTAAATTTGGACACACAGGCAGCGCTCCTGTGCCAGGTAAGTCCACTTTGGGCTCACCATAGACAGTGCTACTTGCCCCGCTCCTGTGCCAGGTAAGTTACGGGCTCACCATAGCCCGTGCTACTTGGAACTTGTTCCGAGTAGCTGAATCTATAACAACAACAACATCACTACATAGCACTTTGATAAGGATCAGGATAGGGATTAGGACAGACGGAAGGAAAGGGACGGCGCCCATCCTCTTGGACGGTAACATTCAACAACCATGACGGACCTTTACAAGAATTTGGTAGTTTTATATTTGTTTCTGACCAGCAACATTATATTTCTACGGTTTACCACACCCCCAAAATTTAAATGATAAAAATACATGTAACAGAGTCACGTTGTTTTCGCAGTATTGTGTGAACAAATCACAGAAAAGGACAAAAGCTCGCGTATAAGTGGCGACTTTTGTAAAAAAAAAAAAATGAGATCTGAATTATCCCACAGAAATTTGGCTCGGGAGTCGGCCAAAAATATTATTTTCCTGATATATTTAACTTAAATGCTTTCCAATTTCTTGCATTCAGTTGGAATTATTCTTGTCTATGTATACATATCCCCCAGCCTCAATTTAATAATAATAATAACATTAATAATAACAATAATAATAAAACACAGAGCCCCCCCCTCTGTGTATCGCACTAGAGTGTGTGCCTGGAAACACCCAGCGCGTAGGTTCGAATCTTCATCACTGCTAGAACGGATTTTCTCAGTAATAATAATAATTATTATATAATAATAATAATTAACCAGCAACTGTACTCGTGACAACACAGACAAAAATATGGCGCCTCTTGCCAATTTTTTTCTTAAACGCTCCATAAAGTAGTATTAATAGAAACTGTACTTAACACAGGATAATTCTCAGTTGAGGTGAGCACAGAGTTCACACAGTACACTGCTGTGTTGAGCTGAGAACAGTGCATTAATACAACTGTGAGTGCTGGTAGAGGTCTGTGACGATATCAACCTCGTCTCTGGAGTGAAGTGTGGCGATAGCAACGCCATCTATGGAACTGCACTCCAACTCGAAGTTAATAGGTGTGACGAAGACAACGCCATCTGTTGGCAGAGGTGTGGCAAGATCAACGCCATCTGCGAAAGGCTCCTGTTAGTACTTATTACTGTTAGTATTGGGGGGATTGGTGCCCTGAAGCTACATAAACACCCTATACCCCCCCCCCCCCCGAAGTGGCAAGGGGAGTTAGGGGACAAGTAGGAGGTGGGGTCGGTGATGAAGATCTCTGGTGAGGGAAGTAACAGTGTCAACGCCAGCTAGATTGTGTATCCAATTATATTTACAGTTCCCTGGTGAGAGGCCGCCATCCTATGTTCTCCTTGTATACTTTATCTCTGGCTAATGATTGTTATGTCCACAGAAGTGACGTGGAGAGTCTATTGCACTGTGGAAGGTAGTTCACCTTCGGCACTCCAAAACTCCAAAAGTCAGGAGTTCCAAGATATAAAGGCAACAATATATCATGGATAAGTTGCTCCACAAGATTGTTGCTTTCATCGTCGACTTCCTATGGCGTCTCCTGCCACTTAGTTTCACCTAATTTCGTTTTAAAATTATATTATTTCAGAGAAAAAATATGCTTTTTCACGTTCTACATTCAGCACCAACATTATAGTGAGTAAATACGTCATATTTCTTCATTACTTACGTAAGGCTAGGAAGCTTTGGGTAATTAATAGGACCCTAAATAAACAGGTCGATATAAAGAAGCAGCCGCTATATCAGCACAACAGCGGTACAAGCAGCACAACACTTCTTTAAGAAGTGCCGGACCAACCAGGCTGTGGTGGATATGTGGGCCTGCGGGCCGCTCCAAGCAACAAACAGCCTGTTGGACCAAGCTCTCACAAGTCAAGCCTGGTCTCGGGCCGGGCTTGGGAAGTAGAAGAACACTCAGAACCCCATCAACCAGGTAACCGGTAGCAGAACTAGCGGCACTAGGGGTAACACCAGCATCCAGAAAGCATTAACTCGGACGCAGGTTCGAATCTGCGTCACGGCCCTTGTGGATTTGTTCATTAAACAGGAGAGATGCTGTCTTTTGACAACAGATGAGGCAGCAACAGCAGGAGTACTAGTAGCAGTAGCATCAACATGAATATGAAGAGTATCATGAGCAGCATCAAGAACAATACAAGTTGCAGCATCAGCAGCATCATTGCCACCAACAAGAGCAGCAGCAGCAACAGCACACCTTGTTGTAGAGTGGCGACGGTGAGAGGGCTGGAGCAAACTGTGAATGGGGTGGTGACTGGGGGCCACCACCGGGCCCCCACACTAACTACGCAGCCGGATGCTGCCAGCTTCCGGCTCTTGCCATGACTCTCATCTCGCCCGCTGCCACCACCACGCGGAAGTGCGCACGCCGGCAGCTGCCCCGACACCGGGTCAACGGGTGCATCTCCCTCTAGTCTCATTCGTGTTCTTGACGTGTCTCATGCTTGTTCGTGACGTGTCTCATCCTTGTTCGTGACGTGTCTCATTCATGTTCGTGACGTGTCTCATGCTTGTTCGTGACGTGTCTCATCCTTGTTCGTGACGTGTCTCATGCTTGTTCGTGACGTGTCTCATGCTTGTTCGTGACGTGTCTCATCCTTGTTCGTGACGTGTCTCATCCTTGTTCGTGACGTGTCTCATTCATGTTCATGACGTGTCTCATGCTTGTTCGTGACGTGTCTCATTCGTGTTCGTGACGTGTCTCATGCTTGTTCGTGACGTGTCTCATTCGTGTTCGTGACGTGTCTCATGCTTGTTCGTGACGTGTCTCATTCTTGTTCGTGACGTGTCTCATCCTTGTTCGTGACGTGTCTCATTCATGTTCGTGACGTGTCTCATTCTTGTTCGTGACGTGTCTCATGCTTGTTCGTGACGTGTCTCATTCGTGTTCGTGACGTGTCTCATCCTTGTTCGTGACGTGTCTCATTCTTGTTCGTGGCGTGTCTCATGCTTGTTCGTGACGTGTCTCATTCGTGTTCGTGACGTGTCTCATGCTTGTTCGTGACGTGTCTCATCCTTGTTCGTGACGTGTCTCATTCATGTTCGTGACGTGTCTCATGCTTGTTCGTGACGTGTCTCATTCGTGTTCGTGACGTGTCTCATGCTTGTTCGTGACGTGTCTCATTCGTGTTCGTGACGTGTCTCATGCTTGTTCGTGACGTGTCTCATCCTTGTTCGTGACGTGTCTCATCCTTGTTCGTGACGTGTCTCATCCTTGTTCGTGACGTGTCTCATTCTTGTTCGTGACGTGTCTCATGCTTGTTCGTGACGTGTCTCATGCTTGTTCGTGACGTGTCTCATCCTTGTTCGTGACGTGTCTCATTCGTGTTCGTGACGTGTCTCATTCGTGTTCGTGACGTGTCTCATTCGTGTTCGTGTCTCGGGTGCTCTAATAGGCTCAGTAAAACTGGAGAAGAAAGCCAAGCTACTCTTGTGGTCGGTGCCAGAGGACCAGCGGCGGTGGACCCGTCGACCCGGCACCGGTGCCTTGCCCCACCAATCGATATTTAAAGGCAAACTTGGTACCTTTGGCACTGAGGTCCCCGGGGAGTTGGGGCACTTGTTTAGTGGCACCGACCTTGAGTGCCAAACACTCAACAACAAACAATATTCCACTAATCACTCGCGAAGGTATATCTTACCGCTGCCAAATGATGTCTCGGAGGATGCTGCGTCACCCCCCGAGATCAACACATCCCCGGAGGCTGCACCCCAGAGATCAACACATCCCCGGAGACTGCACCCCGGAGATCAACACATCCCCGGAGGCTGCACCCCGGAGATCAACACATCCCCGGAGGCTGCACCCCGGAGATCAACACATCCCCGGAGACTGCACCCCTGAGATCAACACATCCCCGGAGGCTGCACCCCGGAGATCAACACATCCCCGGAGACTGCACCCCGGAGATCAACACATCCCCGGAAACTTCACCCCGGAGATCAACACATCCCCGGAAACTGCACCCCGGAGATCAACACATCCCCGGAGGCTGCACCCCGGAGATCAACACATCCCCGGAAACTGCACCCCGGAGATCAACACATCCCCGGAGGCAGCACCCCGGAGATCAACACATCCCCGGAGGCTGCACCCCGGAGATCAACACATCCCCGGAGGCAGCACCTCCGAGATCAACACATCCCCGGAGGCTGCACCCCGGAGATCAACACATCCCCGGAGGTTGCACCCCGGAGATCAACACATCCCCGGAGGCAGCACCTCCGAGATCAACACATCCCCGGAGGCTGCACCCCGGAGATCAACACATCCCCGGAGGCAGCACCCCCGAGATCAACACATCCCCGGAGGCTGCACCCCGGAGATCAACACATCCCCGGAGCCAGCACCCCCGAGATTAACACATCCCCCGGAGGCTGCACCCCGGAGATCAACACATCCCAGCAGTTGGCACACGAGTCTCAGGTTCTAGGAAAGGTGTGTGAGAGAGATTACCTGTGGTTCACCTGGGATTGATTTCGCCATGTGACACTAAACGTGTCAGGCAGCCATGTGACACACAGTAAACGTGTCTGGCAGCCATGTGACACACAGTAAACGTGTCAGGCAGCCATGTGACACACAGTAAACGTGTCTGGCAGCCATGTGACACACAGTAAACGTGTCTGGCTGCCATGTGACACACAGTAAGCGTGTCTGGCAGCCATGTGACACACAACAAACGTGTCGGGCAGCCATGTGACACACAGTAAGCGTGTCGGGCAGCCATGTGACACAGTAAATGTGTCGGGCAGCCATGTGACACACAACAAACGTGTCGGGCAGCCATGTGACACACAGTAAGCGTGTCGGGCAGCCATGTGACACAGTAAATGTGTCGGGCAGCCATGTGACACACAGTAAGCGTGTCAGGCAGCCATTTGACACACAAACGTGTCGGGCAGCCATGTGACACACAGTAAGCGTGTCAGGCAGCCATTTGACACACAAACGTGTCGGGCAGCCATGTGACACACAGTAAGCGTGTCGGGCAGCCATGTGACACAGTAAATGTGTCGGGCAGCCATGTGACACACAGTAAGCGTGTCAGGCAGCCATTTGACACACAAACGTGTCGGGCAGCCATGTGACACACAACAAACGTGTCGGGCAGCCGAACAGGAGGCAGAGGCGTCACCAGTGGAGTCCCGCAGGGTTCAGTCCTTGGACCTATATTGTTTCTGATATACGTAAATGATCTCCCAGAAAGAATTGACTAGTTCTTCTCGATGTTTGCTGATGATGCAAAAATCACGAGGAGGATTAAGACGGAGGAAGATAGTATGAGGCTACAAGATGACCTAGACAAACTAAAGGAATGGTCCAACAAATGGCTACTAAAGTTCAACCCGATTAAATGTTAGATAACGAAACTAGGCAGTGGAAACAGGAGGCCAGACATAAGATACCGAATAGAAGATGAAGCCCTTCATGAAACGGACGGTGAGAAAGATCTAGGAGTGTCTGCCCTCTCACCGAGTAGGTGAGAGGGCAGGTGAGAAGGCAGCCAGTATTAACAAGAGTAAGCCAGGCTCCTCACATATATCCAACCTCCCCCACACCCTCCACCCACCCCCCTCTCCCACACTCCTCCAAGACTATCGCTTCTCTGCTTCATTACCCACTTGATCCCCAACATATAGTCATCACCCCCCCCCCAGCCAAAAAGCCCACGCCCCTCCTCTTTACCTATTACCCCTCCCCCCTCACCTCTGCTGCTTCCTCTCCCTGGCTCTCCTCACCCCCTTCCTTCCCTACCTCCTGCCTAGACCATTTGGAGAGAAGGAACTGAGACGCATAACTGCCTCAGGGGCTGAAAATATTGGAATCGGACAGAGAGAAAAGATGCATGAGTTGATATCACGTTGAACCCTTTCCGGAAGGCCACACCAAACGGCTCTCATGAGGTGCGTGTGTGGTCAGTTGGCCTTCCTGACAACTGTCTTCAGCAGTATGATGAAGGAGCTCTTTTATACCACGTATGTCAGACCATTTATGAAATATGCGTCAGCAGAGTGGAGTCATTACTTCGTTAAGGCCAAAATACAGCTAAATATAATAGTCCAGAAGTTTGAAACAAGAGTAGTACCAGAGCTCAGAGGTCCGAAAGAAATAGAGAGCAAAGACAAGAACTTATTTTATTTTTAATGTCAGAATAGTGAGGTGGTGGAGTTGACTCCATACACAGCTTCAGATGTAGATATGAGAAAAGCAAGTAGGTTCGTGAACCTATATAGACATGTTGATTAAATGTTGAGAGATGGGACCAAACAGGTGAAGTTCAACTGTGGTAGGTCAGTAGAGAGTTGAGCCACCCTGCCCAGGCTCACCAGACGCCCTCAAACATTATTTCTCACTCAAGATTAAAATCAACATTGACACTCGTTTATGATGTGTTGCCACATGTAAGATAATAACCTGTGATGGGACTTCAACGCCTCCTAGATCAGTCACCGCAGAGAATGAGGGAAAGGAGGAGGAGGAGGAAGAAAAGGATACAGAAGAGGAACAAGAGGAAGAAAATAAAAAGGAATAAGAGAAAGAAGAGATACAATCTCGATGATTTGGATCCAGTCTAAATTCACATGAAACAAAATATTGAGATTTAAAGAGGATTCCATTCGAGGTGAAAGTGTTGTACACCAACATTGATCCTTGTGAGGGGAGGGAAGTGCAGCAAGTGTTGGGTTGAGGCGGTGTAGTGAGCCCTGCATCACAGGAGCGGCGGCGTTGACCCAGCGGCCGTCTCTGGCTGGCTGGTGGCCGGGAATTACTGCACCTTCTATAAAGGGCTTCCTGGGAGCCGTCTTCACGGAGTGCGACGTAAATAGCTTTTGTGACGCTCGGGGTTTATGGAATCGACCAGTGGCGTCACTATTTTTAAGTCCACCAAATATGTGTGTGTGTGACGGTGTTTCATTTGTGCTCACCTGACCGTCCTCGTGTAGAGTGACAGTGGGGAAGTGAGGTCTAACCTGTAATGCCGCGCATATTACGCTTTTTGTACCTGTTGTGTTATCATTAAAGTTTCCTGTCTGATGAATACTTAGTAAGTCTGGCCTGAAAGTGTGGAGTGGAGGGCCTTCCACGTACATGCTCCTAGTGTTTCCTTAGTTCCTTTCCTTATTTCCTTATTTCCTTATGTTTCCCTCCTTTCTTCGGCTCATTTGCATTCCCACTTATGTTTTCTTGTTCTGCTTTCTCTCAGTTTAAAGAGGTTGGCCACCTTGTCTATTTCCCTAAGGTTGTGAGGTTTAGCTCACTTAACATATCTGGGTAGCTATTTTCTCTCATTGGTCTTCTTGTAAACATTATTTTTTTTAATTTTGATAAGTACTAAACGAATTGCAGATTCTATGATGGTGCTGAATATTTTAATAGCGATCTTACATAGTCTGAATCGATGGCTTTAGAAGTCTTTATTGAGGTTTGTAAATGCGTTGTAATGGTGCCAGCGTGCCATTCCGTGCCATGTTAGCCTGTCCACGAGTGCCTCTCGTGTTTGTGTTCTGTCCAACTTATATTATCGTTTTGCCTTTCCAACTCCTATAATTGTCTTTCCCTTATGATATATATTCATTCTGGTCCCCCTTTCTCCTATTTTCATCTTCGTTGCATTTCACTTGCTGGTGTTAAACTTCAATAATCATTTGTCTGCCCAATCTGGGAGTTTGCAAGATCTTTCTGTAATTCCCTGCAGTCCTTCAGAAACATTGACAAATACGAACTCACTCCTCGGGTTGGTCGTACACCAAAATTAGAAACGGAAGAAGTCCTAACACCGAGCCTTAAGGGACCCCGCGTGTCACATCCCTCCAGCTTGATACACCTCTCTGATTGTGACCTTTTCTCCTCTGCCCTTCAGGTACTCCCTCTCCCAGTTCATTGTTCTCCCAATAATCCCAACTTATTACTCCATCTTATACACCAGCCTTTCACGAGGAACACTATCAAATGCTTTTTGGCAATCTAGGAAGATGCAGTCAACCCAGCCAACTTTTTTGTATGTATTTCTGTAATCATTGTTATAGAACTCTATCAAGTTCGTCAGGCAAGACTGTCCTCTTCTAAATCCAGGCTGTCGCGTTGTTACAAAGTTACTCCCATGTACAGGTGCTCTTCTATCCTCAACCCGATTACTTTCTCCAGCACTTTTCGCGGATAACTCATCAGTGACACGGGTCTGTAATATTGTGCCTCCTATCCTGCACATTTTTGTGAATATTAGAACCACGAGTACTTTTTATGGCAAAGTACCTCATGTTATGTGTGTAATATGGTGCTTCAAGTCGGTTTTGTTCGCTGCGTCTACTAGTTTTGCTCATCATGTCTCATTTCTCCAGTGTGGGGGTCTGTATGTGTCTTTGATTAAAGTCTACAAGAATTATAATCGTAGCTCTCACTTCCCTTGCCACTGTGGTTGCCTTTTCCATTATCTTTTGGCAAGTCTTACTGCATTTGTTATATTCGTTCTCAGGACATCTTTTATTTTGATGATGGATTGTATGTCTCCGCTACCACGATCTTCATGTCACTCACCACTACCACTATTTTCATGTCACTCACCACTACCACGATCTTCATGTCACTCACCACTACCACTGTCTTCATGTCACTCACCACTACCACGATCTTCATGTCACTCACCACTACCACTGTCTTCAAGTCACTCACCACTACCACGATCTTCATGTCACTCGCTGTTGTTGCTCGAACCTTTGGCTGCTCGGTTTCCTCTGATCATTTTATTTCTGCAGAGTTCCATTGTAGTTTTTTTTTTTTGCAATATAGTTACATCTCCTCCCCGAGTTCCTCCGGTCCTTTCTTATCAATTTATATTCTTGTGGGAAGATTGCATTTGCTATAAGACTTGTCAGTTTCGTTTCTGTTGTTGCAATAATGTGTGGTTGTTCTCCTGCCACTTATTCCAGTAACCTATATATACAGCAACACACATATATACAGCAACATATACATACAGTAACTCTACCCCCTTTTATTTGTAATTTCATCTGCATTCATATACATAACTTGAATCTACCCATCTGTAGTGATACGGGTTTGCCTAAAGAGCAGTGATTCTGGCTGTTGAATATCTAGTCTTGATAACGGAAGGAGTGAGTGTTGATCTAGTAACTTGTGAGTGCTGCTTTACAGGGTGCTTGGTCACACTCTCCCTGTCTTGCTGTGTTGTGTTATGTTGTTGTCTGGCGTGATGGATCTTGTGCTCCCTTGTGCTGGGGTAACCTTTAGGGCTCTACTTCCCTCAATTTTCTTCGCTTCCTCTATATCCTCCTTAGACATATACCTTGTTATCATATACCTTATACGTGTGTGAGTTTGTGGAGGCCATCCACTGCTCAGGGATAATATTTACCTTAATTCACAACATCTTCCAAAACTAAAAAAATCTTCTGTACTGTTCACGTTGTC